TTTGGGTTTCCTGTTGTTAAAGGTCATGTTAAGTGGGTCTTTAAGCATTAGAGGAATACTGCTCTTTTGTACCAAGCTCTGTCAAATGAATTTTGGATTTCCTGTTAAGAAAGGATATATTAAATCAGTCTTTAAGCTTTAGATGATCAAAAAATATCAAATGTGCACAACTCACTAGACCCCTACATTTGTTTTTAGGTTCAATGGTAAATGGATGGGGTTCTGCGTCTGATGAGGACCGTAACTTTTCTAGTCATAGATCTAGTGTAGGTAGCTCCTCAGATGACTCGATCTTTACCAGCGGCAGTTTTGCACAAGCACTGGTTGCAGCAGCAGATAAAGCTGGGTTTAGGCTGGATGGAACCAGCCTGACAAGAACAGGTTTGTAGATTCAAAGTCGATGCTTTCTGCATGAAGGGTGTCTCTACCTACTCTTCTTTTCAGTGAACCTGCATCTCCCACTTCTCTAACATGCATGGAATAAGGTGGATGGAGATATTTTCGTCAGTATATTTTAATGAAATCTTGCATTATCTTTCGGTTTTAGTGATTTGAAGTAGTGAATAGCATACGCTTTTAATCTGCACCTTCAGTCTGTTGCAGTTTCTCTCTATGCTGACTCTGCTATAGATTTACTGACATATACTCTGGTTAACATTTCAGTGAAGAGATCACTAATTCTGCCATGCAGCCTTCGATTATTTCATTTTTTTTGCAAAATCTCCTTACAATCCTTCACATTTCCAGTGATGAACATCATGTTTAAACTATTATCTCCATCTCTGTTCTTCTGTTGCATCTCTTATTGCAAAAGTGTCTTTTTCTGTGAAGTTTTTCTAAGCATGGGGTGAATTGGTGTGCTTTTATTGTTAACAGTACAAGTTGTTTAAAAACCTTATTAATAGATAATCTAAAAAATAGTTAATATATTTTGATTTAGAATTTAGTTTTAATTATGCCAACTGAATCTGCTAAATTAAATGTAACAAAGGTAAAATGACTATTGCTTTTGAAAACAGCCAGTCTTCTAAATTGAATTAATGAAAAATAAACATAATTTAGCTCATATTTCTAGAGCTCCATAGGTTCTATTTCTAGGAGGAAAAAAAATAGTTAAAAATGTCTTTAAAATATTCTGGCAAAATAATGTATTTGCATTTGCTTAGACTTATCAAAATAGTCAAAATAACTCATTATTTAAATCCACACATCTAGTAGCAGAGTTTGAACTTGGGTCATATTTTTGTTATGGTTTCTCAGCCAATTCCTGCCTACAGGTCCTATAATGTTCCTGTCATCTAAATTTTTTTACTATTAATCTGATATGTAGTCTATCCTTCAGTAAAATGTGTGCATTTAGGAGAAATATCTCCGCATGTTAGTGCTAAAAACTGCAGCTCTTCTGCATGCAATGACTCCATGGCAAACAGTGCCTTTTAGGAACACTAGGAATGACAAGAAGAATCGATGGCAAAGCTGTATGTTGCCAACAGCCTACAGGATGAACAGATACAGCTTTTCTCAGATCACTGGGACTTTTGTCATTGACTTTGTTCTGACATAATCATCCTTTACCCTCACTTACTTCTTACACTAGTGGAAAATTGACTGAGTAAATCTGTCTCATCATTTGAAAAAAACCCAAAGCAAAACAAAACAAAATCCAGTGTAGACCTTCACTCATCTACTATGGGCACATTTAGCCAAATATAGTGTTACTTGAAGACTCTTCTAAATATTCTTGAATCAAAGGAGTAAATCCTTCCTAACCTTCTCTTTTTTTTGATGTTGTTCTTGGCCTCAGTAAAAGCTAATGCAAAAATCGACCCAAAGTCAATGTTGCTTCTGTCAGGTCACTGAGAAGTACACTTTCCACCACAAACACACACATAACAAAAGTGAATGGACACACAAATGCATTAACACTTTTAAATACATATAACTTCTGATTGTAGCTATGTAAATGGAAAGCACAAGGAAAGGATGACAGCCCTCTTGTCATTTATATTTTTCTAGCTTAATTAGGTCACAAACAACCATCCCTCGCCAATACCGCCTAAGGAGACTTTCCGCTGTGCCTTTTGCAACCGGACTTGCCTATCCTGCATCGGCCCTTTTAGCCATCAGCGCGCTTGTAGCAAGTGTGTGTAGAGCCCTTCCCATATCTTTGTTCGCAAAGCATAGCCATGATGATGAGGTCACAAATGCACTTAAACTGAGTAGCATATGATTCCTTGGACAGACTATTTGAATTTAGGGTACAATAAAGTAGCTAATCGTTGTGGCAGAGACTTTATGATTATTAGCCACTTACTGATTCAGCAGGCAAAATGGAAGCAAAACCCTCAAATCTAAACAAGCAGCCCTCCCTTCTTTTCCTCACAATACGCTCAGCAAATGGAAATAACTCCTCAGTGCTTACAGCCATTTCACAACTCTATGATACCTCCCAGGGTAGCGTGGGTCCATCAGACATGCCTATTATGGACCTGCTACACCACAGCAAACCCCTCTGTTGTGCAAAACAGTGTCTTGTCATGGAGAAGCAACAGTATTATTTCTACTCAGTGCTCTGGAGGGAGTCTGGAGGTCCTGACTCTTCACTCGTTTGCAGTCTGGACTGTTTTCACCCATTCGGATGTGTCTGACTGCCAAGCATAAGAGGGACGGATAAATCCAGGTGCAAGGTGACTCTTCTGCTAGACACCAGTTTCCAGAAGCCATTGTGTTCTTTGCTGTAAAGTTCAGTTTTCCTGTTTAACACTCTTTTAAAATTAAATCAAGAATAGGTGGATTCATCCTTGTCTGCACTTAGACTTACTAAATCTACTACAGAGAGTCTGACACTACTTGGCAGTTCTTAGTGAAATGGCCACATACAAATGCAAGATGCTGTAATCAGTTATTAGGTGCATTGAAAAATATGTTTCGGGAGCCTGCACATCACTTGTTTTTGCCCCATGTCTGATTTAGGTCAGTGCTATTTATTCTCCCTCTTTTTCATGGAAGGATAAAAGAGAGGATGTTTGGTGTCTATTCTTTTTTCAAACCAACATTCTGAATGAATAATCACATTTCTTTAGTCAAGAGAATAAGTATGAAAAATCTTCATCCTGCACTCACTAGTTGCACTTGCACGTTGTGAGTTTATTTTTGCAAAACATCTGTGCAATGTGCTGTGAGCTAGGATGGAATTGCTGGCTCATATGTGAATTTCTTTGCTTAGTGGTCTTTTTTTTTAATTTTTAAATGAAATTTTAGTATTTTGTTAGTATTCGTCTGCAGTTTTATCCTCATCTGTGAAACAAGGGCTTGATCACTTGTCTTTGTCTGGCTGCAGCTGTGCCAGCTATAGAGGTTAATGTTTCCATCCTTCCCCCAAAGGCTTATTACTTCTTTCTCCCAGATTCAGAAATAGCTGCTTGGGTGGGTGCTCTGTAGCCCATTTCAGTTAAAATGAACCAGGTTAGCAAAAGCATACTTATCATATCATTTAAGTTAAACTGGACTTATTGGTAGAGGTAAGGAATGTCCACATGCAGGGTTCAAACATGGCAACCTCCAACAGCTGGCAGTGACGTGCAGCTGCGAACCAAGCCTGCCAAAGAGCAGTGTCTTCCTCAGGGTGCACATCAGTCAGAAGGTAGAAGATCAAGCCTGAGACAGTCAGGAACTCTCTGAAGTCAAAACCAAGCTGTTATTCTAACATGTCTGTATTAATGTGAAACACCATGCTAGAGAGATTATGGCTACTTCTTTTGCTTTGCCCTCTTAGCACTGAGAATATTTCAAATAGTGTCAAGGGTAGCATATTACTCCTGATTAGGCTTATCTAAATCAGCTGAAGTAAGCGCATCTGTTGAAAGGCTTTACTGGAAAATGTAACTCACACCAGGGTAGACCCTGGTCTAAGTTAACCAGAGGGTTAAAAAGCTCCTCACTAACATGGGATCAGTTGACCATAAGTATAACAAACAGCAATTTTACCACTTTCTCTCAACTCTTACACCACTTGGGTCTACAGTAGCATGGAAAGAGCAGAAATTCTGACTTTGCACATTTTGCACTGCAGAAAGGATTAAAGAATGTAAGAATTTCAAGCACCAGTTCTAAATGAATTAAAATGTTAACATCCCCAAGGTAACTGGGAAGAATGACATGCGGATAAAAAAACCCCACAAAGATGGTGATCTTTAGTTTTCATCAGTTGTTATTAAACAAGTCTAGTTAATTTAACTGAATAAAAATAACAAAATAAAAGGTAGTGAATGTAGTAAATGAACCCCTGTTCCTATGGTTTCTGCATGATGCTTTTAATGATCTGCTCCACAGAACAGCATCAAAGACTTCTTCTGAAGAGAAATCACTTATCTTGATTAGTCTATACATATATAAAAAAAACCTGAGGAATAACATTATTTTGAACCAAATAAATAGAATGAAAATGGACAGAAAATTTTAGCATTTAAATATACCCCCATTTTTATCTCTTGAGAAAAAAGCGCCCTTAAGTACAAACCTACACTGCTACATAGCTTGCAAAATCAATTATGTTTATCTCACTGGAGTTAATCCAGATATACAGTGCATATGGGAGCCCCTAAAATGAGAATCTGGCTTGACAAACGTGGAGGTGGAAGGCAGGAGGAGATAAATTTGGTATGATTGCAGAACTGTTTTCCTTCCCTACTCAAGGCTGAGGAGTTGTTATGACACATCTGTTCAGCACACAGAGCAGGTAGGAGTTAGATGGCATACAGTAGTTTTATCGCAACAGATGGAATGATTTTAATTATAAAAGTTAAAGACAGAGGAATGCCAAGTTTCTTACTTTGCTTACTGTGACGTATCTTAAAGCAGTTGTCATTAGTGGGTACCTCGAGGGGACACTTGCTTGCCTCTGAGAATTAGACCAGATTTAATGTTTCAAAACAGACATTAATAGAACAGCCCCTTTCAAGGCAGCAACATTTTTTCATCTCGTTTCTCCTTTTTTTTAGGCAAAGCGTATCATTCCTCTCAGAGACCTCGGCCGAGCAGTCCTTTTTCTACTGACAGCAACACCAGTGCAGCTGTCAATCAGAGCCAGAGGCTGAGGCCCACTAAAAAACACAAGGGAGGACGGTTGGACCAACCCTCCTTGCCTCATCGTAGGGAGGGAATAACAGACGGTAAGTGTCGTGGTAAAGTCCCTGATGATAACCTGCAACAAGCCGATGTGCAACATGGGAGAATATAGAGCAATCTTTTAAGGAACATATATTAAGTTGAATTATTTGTTTGGTGAAATGGGGTCCCCAGGTTGCCACGTGAGCAATATTGCAACTCCAGCAATGCAGAGCTTGTCTAAGTGAGTCTTCAAGGAGCCTTTCTTCTTTTCAGCTCTGAACATGTTGGCATCTCTTATGTTTCCTCAGACCACAATGTAAATCTTACCCAAAAATGACTGCGTTGCACATGAGTTGACATTAGAAAATGTCCTGTGGGTAATTTTACATTAAATGAAAGTAGCCACGACCATCAGTAGCAATATGCAATGAATTCTTAAGGAGAAGCATAGAGCCAGTCCTTCAGCGCTCTCTTTGGTTTGTCCTGGTTTTGGCAGCCGCCCAACAGCCACAGCAATACGTGCCACACTTCTCTCATGCTTCTGCCTCATGTCTTGTCTGTGCTGCTTCATTCTTGACATCCACTGACTCAGTGACTTTGTTTCCCTCTTTAACATCTCCACTTCTCTCTGACCACTGCTTCCCATCTGGAAATTTCAGGCACATCTGATCTGCTTTTCTGATGATTAATATCAGCTCAAACTTCCATTATCTTTGTCTGCTCCCTCTTGAATTGGGCAAAAGATGTGATTGCTGCCTCCTCTCTGAGGAAGACTGGATAGGAAGGTGGCTACCTGCCTCTCATTTCTTCTGCTCTCCAGCCTGGCTCCTGTAGGTGTGGAAATTACCAGAGGGGAGAAACAGCATTCAAGGAGCCACCAAGGATATCTATATTGCCAAGCAGATGGAGATGTGTTCAGTTTCCTCAATCTGACCTTGCTTTTAACATTCAAAGTGTGGCAATTCTGAGAGCTAGACTGTCCCACCTGCCTCAGTGCCTCTCAAAACACTATCTGGAACATGGGAGTAGGTGAGATGCCAGGGAGTCTATTTCCTAATCTTAAGTACACCTTGACAAATCTCTCAGTATGTGGGGGTGGTGTAAAAATAATTTTAAAAAAAGCATTAGATTTTAGTATAAACATCCTTCTTATTCTAGTACAAATTACTCGAGAATCAGAATATCTCGAGTTGAAAGAGACCCATAAGGATCATCAAGTCCAACTCCCTTCATTATCTTCCTTGGGCAGGTTTATTTAGTTTGGTTTATTTATAATGTGCTGTATATTACGCTAGATACATGTATAAAATATATTAACAGCTTGAAGGTGGACTGTGACCACTAAAACCACCAGACCTCTTCTCTCAGTTGTGTTATCAGGTGTACAGATACAGTTTTGTAGTATTCCCTGACAGTTTCCTTGTTTGCCAGACCATGAAAGTGGAGAACAGATTCCAGAAGTTAAAGTCTAATCAATGGGGTTATTGTTATTTCTCATGTTCTATGGCTTATCCTCACTACCATATTATTTGAAGAAACAGCTTAAAGTAGCTTAGACTCCACTTATATGGATCTGGATTGGTTTAAATATTAATTCCCTCCCCTTCTAGCTATGTTCCAGAGGCCTCCCTCCTGCACAGATCCATTAAATAGATGTATCTGTGAGAATAGTAACTGCAAATTTTGGGTGTCCCTTGTGATGCTGGCAATACTCATTCTGTGCATATGTTAAGTTACCCCTTCTGCATGGTGTATCTTGTCATCCTGAACTGTGAGGTCAAAAATTCTGTGTACGTGTGAGTTTGTAGGGCATTCATTGTGATCGGACCATAATCCTTTGGCTTTTTAGTTATTATTGCTGCAGAAATGTCTAATAATAATACGGGTAACAGAAAAATAATGGACATCCAGTTCAGGTCATGAAAGGGTTGGAAGCATGACTTCTTGGGGAGTAATGCCATCATAAAATCTGGCATTGTTTTAAAGTAGTGAAAGAGATAAGATTGTAAGACTTATTTTAAAAGAGGAATCTCCTATTGTCTTTTTATTTATTATTTACAAAATAACAGTTTACTGGAGTTTCTTTCATGTATTTGAGTCAGAGTACCAATTATATACTCTCTCCTTCAACAATCCACCTCTCAGACACAGACAGTGACCATAACAGCTTTTGGACACCCTTAGCTTAATATTTGTCTGTTATAAACCCAGTTAAAGTGCTTACTATGCGTTGCAAGAATTAATAATGTCTTGGAGTAAGAGGATCCTTTCCCATCCTATCTTACCACAGGAAGAGGCAAACAAACATAAACTGTACAGGTTTTCCACTCCACCTCTAACTGTACAGGAGTCATTAAAGTGTAACGGCAAATCTGAGTCACAGCTAAATTTGCAAAAGAACATTTGTCAATTAAGGAAGCTAAAGATTGCTGCTACCACCTGTGTGTAGGTAAACAAACTGAATTTGGGAACTTCTGGTATACATAAATTAAAATTGGTAACTGGATGCTTTGTGCAGAATATTGAAATGAACTCAACAAAGAGAGACAATACCACTGTGCTTAAACTGCAGTTAGGAAAAGCAAGCAGGAGAACCTGGGATAGATCCAGCAATTCTGAGCCCTGATCCAGGCCAGTCCATTCAGCCCTGGACTGTTGTGATTTCAGTGGGAAGCATCACTATACATTTTCTCCTGGTTTTGAGATGTCTCCAGCCCATTCCCTTAAAACTGCTTCCTCCTGGATTTGTCATATGAGGATATACTTGGTTTATCAGTTGTCTTCAAATTCCCAAGCTGGATGAGTCCTAGCATCCTGTGTTTGAGTCTTGTCACATACTGATTATCTATCACTTTAAACTCCCATTGACCAAGTAAGCTCCAGCCATGTCCTTTCTCTGCCTTTTGCCATACACATGCTGAGCACTTCCTCCTTGTTAAATGTAACTGTGTGGGAGAGTGCAAAAGACCTAACAAACTGTAATATTTAACGCATAGCACACAGATGCCAGGTTATGTAAGCATATGAGGGTACAACTTCGTGCTTACTTTTAACAGCAGTTCACACAAATGCTCTAAAGGCCTGCTTCTTCATTTTCTTTGGTCACAGGTCAGAATCCTCTAGAGACTCACTCTAGATTGATTCTTCATATTTTTCTTGCTGTACAACTTGGTTTTTAACTTCTACATTCTGAAAAACCACAGAGACAACAGCAAATCCACAGAGGAATAATACCTTATGAATCCCTCTTACGATGAAGACCTTCATTCTGAGCTCACAGTCCACTAAAAAAAAAAAAAAAAAGAATAGGAGATTTTTAGTTGTAGTGCTTAAGGAATAATTTGTTTTCCTGGAAACAATGTATTCACTAATTGCAAAACAGTGCAATCTGTCATGTGGCATGGTAACTGCATGACTGAAGTTAAAAGCTGTTCCTTAGCTGAGCATGATGTTTAAAAAAAAAGAACAGAAAGGAAGCAGAAGGGAAATATAGTTAGGGATTAAAGAAAACTAGAACTTAAGATTTCTATTAGCTTTGTCACTGGCTTGCTATCATGTATTAAAAATCAATTTTTTTGCCAAGGTAGATCACTGTAGAGAAGATGCTTACCTTCTGATGCTAGAAAGTGGTTCAGAGGCTTATTAAATGTCGCAGTAATTATCACCACTAGGAAAACAAATCACTGACATGGATAGAAAGGGATCTCCTTGTACTTGTAGGTTCTGTAACTTGCTGCTTTTTCCAGTTAATAGTGAGAAACTGTGCCAAAATTTCACTGGTGCCTGGATAATTCAGCCAATTCTCTGTCTTCTAATACAGGGCAGGAGTAAACCCAGGCTGAACATCCATCTGCCTCTTATCAGGCATTCCGATGTCCTACAGATTCTCAATAAGAATCCCTCCATTGCTAAATCAATAAGAGCATCGCCTCCCCACCAATGCTCTTATAAATTGCCTTGCAGATTTGATAGTCTTGCCATTAGAGGCTGCAAGTAGTAGTCTGGATGACATCCTGCTGGCCTCGGAAGTTACTATCTCAGTGTTTTCAGGTGTTTTACCCAGCACCCGAAAGATAAACGTCATTTAGGTGGAAATATAGTGATAAACAGTGATAGGACTCTGGGTACCCTCACTGAAAAACCTGCTGAAGTCCCCAGATTTCTAAATTCAAAACTTCTCTGAAGTTATTGGCATGGTGGAATGAGTTGGCTTGCCTCTATGTTGTAATAAGTCTGCCTGTTAGGGACTGAGACTACTAACTTGTCTGATTTCTGTTACCCCTTTACTAGCAATTGAAATGCCAACCACTGACCATCATGTATGTGCATACTTTGTGTGTGGAGATGTGTGCCTGTGGACATGTTTGGCTGGGAAAGGAGAGGAGAGGAGAGGAGAGGAGAGGAGAGGAGAGAGAAGAGATACAAGTGGTCTTTATATTACCTAGGCAGTATAACAGAGCATATTTAGTAATTTACTTAAGGCAGAAGATTTGTGCTACACGATTTAAGTTGTAGGGCAAATAAAAAGCCACATTGCCAAATGAAGCTGTTTTCCAGCTTCTTTTATTAAAAAGGTAGATGTTACTGTGACCCAAGTAAGGTGAAAAAACAGCTTAGTCAGGTGATGGTTGGCTAGAATTAGTAATCATTCTTACAGGTCTTCTCAGACATGTCTAACATAGTTCAGTAAGTCTGTGCTCAGGCTGGAGCCATTTTACGTTAATTCCATAGTACCCATAATTCTCCTAGAATTGTGTGAAGCTTCATTAGAAGATAAATTTTAATTTTTCATTTCAATTTATCCACAGGTCTAAAACACGCAAAGAACTTTATGAACGTGTTTTTTTTTTCTTTTCACTGCTATGCATCAGGCAATCATTATGCTCATTTTGTGAATGGACAAAAGTAAGAATCAGGCTAACAGCAGACCAGCAGGATAAGTCTACAGAAACTGCAGGAGTTGCAGCTAGCTGTAGAACATGTAGTAGTTTAAATACAAACCTTCTTTCCTTCTCAGTATTTAATTAGTAACAACTATTAGATGGCAATTTCTAAAGCAACG